TAGAAACTTTAATTCCCGCAGACCACATATCAGCTCTTCTCGAGTCGTAATTGTACAGAATGCAAGGGTTAACTAGTCTTTTCGCTTTCCTCACCTTCTAATTAGCTTCTTAGTTAAAAGGACGTCAAGACCAATATGCTTTATGGCCTTGATCGTACTTCATTGGTCTGTATGTCTGTCTGTGAAATAAGTCACCGGTTCTACTTACCATATGAATGAATGGATCGTTAACCGGAATCTTTATCGGGTAACATAACTAGTGATATCGATCGGTGTCCTCAGGCCACGATAAACTGTGTTTAGGTTAATGGCTGCTCTGTAACTGTTCGTTTGAAAACTAATATTACACAAGTTATAATACTTATATAGAGTCCAAGAAAAAACCTTATATGAACAGAAATAATGGCGCAAAATACTAGCAACATTTGGTTTGCATATGGTTCATGGAGTTAACTGACAGTTGAACTTAAGGGGATAATGCTTACTGGACATTTGTTCGGTTGAGATGAATTTAAGAATGTATGAAAAAAATCACATCACGTAAATTAAAAATAGTTTTATGCTTTCACAGTGTGTTCATACTACGTTTATTATAAAGTCTATGTACGACATGTTTTTAGCATACTAGCACACATTTGTTTCAATCGATTATCACGAAAAATGGGACTTATAAAGGAATCGTTAAAAATCTCAATTATAAGTGACATATTAGGTTGAACGATGTTACGTGTTAACGTGCATTCAGAAGGACATTACATAAAATCTTTTAGACGTTATTGCACATGACTCAGATTTGTACCAAAAGAGAGTATTTTCAATCAATTAAAGAAGTCATTCTTAGTTATATTTCTAACCAAACTGTATCTTCAACGTATATTGTTATTTTACGGTTATTTTTTTTACTGTACTCATGTTCCTTCATTTGTTTTTGACGAATGTTAACTAGTTAAACGCATGAATCATACTTTTTGAAGGTCAGTTTTATATTAACTTAATTATACACTCAATTATGACATTTCATCAAAAAATAATTACTCATCATAATTATGTTTGCCTCTCTTCTAATTTCATCTCATAATCATTATTTATTGAACATAGTGATGGTGTATAACTAGATTGTTATTCGCAACAGATGTTGTTTTCATCATATCAGTACCAGTACAAAAAGAGAACCCGTTAATGATCTTGGATAACGGTTAACGTCATAAGCTTGGGTTGTATTAAACGGGGAGCATTCACTTCCAGAAGCCCCTGTTACTATAAACATAACCCGACAATGGTTAAACGGCTATTGTTGGTTCGTAGACATGATTTGTTTACACATTTTATGAAAATGTAGGTTACTTCGTAAGAGCAACAGTTTCAGATGACTACAGAAATCTTAGTATTCTATTGGGGGACCTAGCTTACAAACAATGTAGTTAATTTTTCAAACGGAGACTGACACTATGATATATTATGTTTAAGAACAGTTAATTCACTGGACAAAAAATGTACACATAATGAACCATCAAACCAGCTGTTTTAAACTTGTCAATCGTTCTCCTACATAGTTTTCTGCATTTAGTAACTCGATATTTGATTGAATATTAGTAACTTTTTAGCTTTATAAATAGTTAATATGAGCTAAAAATTGCAGTTCATAATGCGTAGGCAGAGTTTGGAGGTGTTATCAATAAAGTTTTGAAAAACTGAAAGACAAGAATAGGATAACGAATAAATGTTTGTAGCCGTTTTCATGTTGTTTAATAAAAAATAAAAAAGTACTTAACTAAATTTCATGATCAATGTCTGGATCTTCGCTGATTTGTAGTGATTTTTCGACGTTTATCCACCTGCAACATTAAAACTAATTGTAGTCAATGAATTTACTAACCCCTGAATTTCGGGTTTTATTATGAAGTTTTGAGAATCGACAATTCTTTGTCTGTAAGAAAATAAAAATAGAAGTGCCATCTCCTGAAGAAACAGATGACAGCTTTACGAGTTTTCTTCTAACTAAGATATCGTATTCATAGTATTGATATTTGCAATCAGTTTATATGAACTAACAAAGTATTTGAAGGCTCAGTTGTCTCATATTACTCACCTATGTGTCGTAGTAGATCGTTGTTTGTAATTTGATCGGAGGTTTCAGATTTTATTTAACTAAAGAAATATCTACTTGGAAGTTGTAGAAATTCACTTTTTTCTATCTTCATTAATCAGTTTACAAGTATGTGGTAACTGACTAGATAGTTGGATTGCTGTGTTTATAACAAAAGTGAATCATTATCGTCAGTATATTAGTTCTGCAAACACATTAGAGAACGAATAATGATTAGCATAGTTCAAAATCATTCACAGTATGTTTACTTAAAATCTGAAACAAATTGCATCCATCTATATATATATATATATATAATCAATGATATTGATATTTATCAACACCCTCTTTGAAGATAAATTTCAAGTGGGTGTTATTTAACATCTGAAAGAAATAATTTTACAAAATGTTTGACACCACTCTATTTAAGCTTGAGGAACACAGTGTATCTTTATTTTATTTCATTTTATTTTTTAGTTTCGAATTGATTTAAATAAACAAGTAAATAAAATAGCAACATTAAAATAGATTTAATGTTTCTACTTGACAGAGCATTAACAAGAAAAAAAGAAGATCATTTTGCATTAAACAGGAATTACAGTTGTTTGTAAAACAAAAATTAACTTTACACAGCTGAGATTCACTGTAGAGAGATGATAATTAACAATTTAAAAAAAATAAATAAACTGAGTAACATGTTACAGATGTGAAAATATTCAAATTGACATTTTATTTCCATCACCTATTGAAAATACATTCATTGAAACGAAACCTTTACAATATAAAATATTTGCAAAATTACATATTTCCACTGCTATGTATTATAACTAACTAACTAACTAACATGTTAAACAGAACCAAGATACTTTAAGCTGTTTTCACATGATCATATGATGTCTCGAAGCACTGCAAAAACTTAATATACATGAATCGACATGATAACAAGCTAAGCACTTATGAGCTCAATTATTGTTTCTTGTTCAAATTTAAATGTGTTAATTTTACACACTTTTTCTGAACTCCATCTCATCCGTATTCGCCCAGTACAATTCAACCCAAAATCAAATTCCCTAACATAAACAGGATCATGTACGTATGGTAATAATTGCATAACAATCTACTTTTTAATAAAGATACTCAGATCTTTGGAATCTTTTAGCCAAAATAAATAATTGTTTACTAGTTTATAGCAAAACTAGTTTTTCAGGCGGAAACAAATTGTTTTCACTTGGTTTTACAAATCAACTCAAGCATGCAATCCTTATATTAAACATATGAATAAATTTTTAGAACTTGACATTAAAAAAAGCGTTTGCTTAAAAAAAATATTCAGTTGTGAGTTTTGATTTGGAAACACTTTTTGTGGTTGTATATTTTCACATCATTTCTTGATTAATTGCAGCGAAACCTGAATATAATAATTTTGTTTGATAAATGAACTCAAATCTATATAATCATTGAAATTGTAAACGACTGAAATTTTTATGTTACATGTTTTCGCCCGTTTTATCACTTAGTTAAAAAATTGATCAGACTTTGACTTGAAAGTGTATCAACGGAGGGTACTCCGTGTATATTCTTTTTCACTTACAGCTACAATTTTCCATAAACTAGAAATATTTATCATCGATCAGTCGATTTTGATACGCTGAAAATGAGAATCGTATTGTAAAAAATGTTTACAAATGATTAGTTTTATAGCAGAAAATAAAGTGTACAAGATGTTAATAGTATATTTAAAAAGAATAGTTGAACTCAAGAAACGTTTTATTAATTTATCATAAAACTATACTTACTTAACTGAAAAAATAGTAGGAATACTACAAGACTAAGAAGAAAGCCTATTCTCCTTCATAGAATAATTTTTAACTCATCGAAATGTCATGAACTTTTAAAATAACTTATATATGAATAGTTCATTGATAACTTTGAATATACTGTTGATTTCAGACTTCATTTTTAAGTCAAGGTAAGGTATCAAACTTCATTATCAAGTGAATCTAGATGCCTAATGAGTGACTAACGACTCCAAAATCAATCAGGCTAATGTTAGATCAAAGATGTCAATTTAATTAACTCAGTCTTAACTCTTGTTTGCGCTCATTGCCATAGTAATACAGAGACTAGTGCGTTAAGCTGGATATCAGACAAATTTTTAAAAGAATATGATCGCATGGATCTAAAAGTAGAGAGTGAGATGTAGTGTGGTTACGCTTTCCAGCCAACAATAATCGTCCTTATTATGAACAGCTATGAAATAATTTAAAGATTTTATAAACTAAATAATTCGGTTCCAAAGATTGTATTGTCGTTCATGACAATAACATCTCAAAGCTAGTATAGAGTTAAAAAAAAAACAACAAATTATTATCATTTTCTTCGAGAACAATACACCATCGTAAAGTGCTAACAGGAACTTTGCATATTCTTTATTATTTATCAGTATATTTGAAAGACCACTCTAATGTCAAAACCTAATTAATTTTGCTTTTAAAAAACCAGTGAATTAAAAGAATGTGAAAAATACGAAAACCACGAACTTGGAAAAATTAATTAAATATTGTTTGAAAAATACTATACAACTAAAAATTGAAGCGAAAAGCTTAGTATCACATTTTTTAAGGAATTCATTTTAAAATATAGATGAACATTAATTAGAGGCTGCATTTCCATTCATGATTCAGTAACTACTAAATTATCTTCTTCAGCCAATCATAACGCTTGTTTTATAGTAACCAATAAAAACATTGTCTGCTTTGAGATTTCAACTTTTGATAAATAACTAACGACAAATCCGAAGGTTGATTAAAATTTACACATCGAAAAGAGCACAATGTCAAAAGTTTTTCGAATTACAAAATCTTAATGCTAAAAGTTATTGAAAACATAAACTAAAATCAAATAGTACACAGAAATGGATACCAATTTCACATCATCATATATAAATAAAAATATCTCATTAATTCCATTAATTCACTATTCTTTACCGTATAAACTAGTAGGCACCATTTCATTATCAGTTATTTTAACAGTTGGCGTTATTGGGAATATTTTTGTCATGTTAATACTAACAATGTCATCTAAATTGCATACACCAACAAATTGTTATCTTATTTCATTATCGGCTAGTGACTTACTAGTTTTGATGACAAGTACAACATTAATGGTGCTTGAATTTTATCAGCCATATAACCATTGGAGATTAGGAAATTTCGCCTGCCAATTAAGTGTATGCCTACAATATTTGAGTGTGGATGCCTCAGCATTATCTATATGTGCGTTTTCTGTTGAACGATGGGTTGGAATTTGTTATCCAATGCGTGCACACTATATGTGTACCATAAAAAGAGCAATTAAAATAATTACTGGAATATGGATATTTACATTAGCATATAATATACCGTGGATATTTATGAGTACTACAGTTAGACAGTATTCAGAATACGGTTCATTTGAAACGTGTACATTCAAATTTAAACGAACAGCTTATAAAGCCATATATATGTGTGATTTAATAGTATTTTATGTTTTACCATTATTTATTACATCAGTAATGTATTGTCAAATAAGTTGGCGGTTATTTCGTACAGATAATAAAGGAATATCTCTTGTCGGACAACACATAAATTTTAATCAAATCATATCATCAGGTAAAACAGAACGTTCTTACGCTGGGATTAATGATGCACCGCAAAATTTTAAATTACGTAAAGTAATTAATAGAGCAAGAGCCAGAAAACAAGTAGGTTTTATCATGTTATGATCAAATTGCTAAAACAAGTAACATGTAATTTTGACAGTTTTCAGTTGAAAGTTTTAGTAAAACGTATTGCATACAGAAAGTTTTTATTCAATCAAATGTGTAGTACACTATTTCGATGAGATACATTGAATAACTATCCTGTTCTTGTCAAGAATTGAATTCCACAGTTATTTAGGAAAGACATACCACTTGAATTAATTCACTTTTTGCCAAGTTATTTATTTTCAATGACCTCGTTTTAATTGTAAACAAAAATTGCAGTTACAGGTAAAATATTGCAAGAATTTAGCTGTTTCGTTAGCCAAATCGCGGAAGCATAGTTTGAGATTAAACATTTGTTAACTTTTAATGTTTTTTGAAACATTGAATCTTATGGTAGTGTAAATCTAAAAATTAAATCGCCATTTAATATTTAACAAATACTACTAGTTTTTAATTAAATTGTACAAATGGATATCGTCAGAAGTAGGTTATATATTATTGTTTCATGTATAATATGTTTATTTCTTCATATACAACATGTGACAGGTTATTTTTCAAATTCAGTTAAAGTAAATATCCTCAGGTTACAATTCGCACAGTAGGATCGTAACATTTTCTGTCTAAATGGAAATTATAAATGTTTCTAGTTTATTTGTTATCTGTAAAATAGTTCATTGAACCATCGTTAAAATGATTAATATATTTCAAAATAAAAATTATCAGATACAATATTAGTGTAATGAAAATACTCAAATAAATTTTACTTTTTCACATAGTTTTATAGTCAACTATGATACGAATGACATTTCAAAATAATGTTAGATTTTATAATCTGCCAGTATATAGTAATGATTTAATCAGGTTGCTATAAGTAGCGTTGTTTATATTGATACTATTACAGAATAGCTTACTTTTCGAATGTTTTATCATATACCTTAAGACAAAAAGTTCTTAGTCTGTCAAAAAGCGTTTTGTTGCTTGTTATTAGGTAGTCAATATTCTACATTATCCCAAAAGTACAAAAATGAGCTACATCCAGTATTTGATGGAACTTTGAGGAACTCCAAGGAAATTCTTGAGATGTATAGAGCTATTTCAGAAGACATTAGTTATTTAATTAAAACATCTTTAAAAACAGCCAGTGATTTCATTAGAGACCGTGAGAATTACAAGTAAAATTCAATATGAGAAAAGACTTCGACATTTGTGTTGACATAGTAACTGGAATATCAATGTTTAACTCCCATTCGCTCTCTACACTTTTGTTCAGGTTAATATCAAGCTTCAATGTTTCAGTAAAACGTTAAAACAATTAATATCAATGCTGGAAGTTAAATTCCTTAGCCGATTTATTTTTACCCGGAGGACGTTTACTGATTGGAATGCTTTTTTGAAACATAATTGCTGTTCAATTTTCATTGATCATGAATTAATCAACATACATTCCTTTACTATCAATGTAAGCAGTTCTGTAAAAAATAAACAAAAAACAGAGCTTAGCATTATTTCATTACCGGATTAAAGAAACCAACCATTAAAATTTAAAACGTTCTTGAAATCCAAAAATACCTAATTAAAATTTTCTTCCCACAAGAGCAAATATCTATTTGTTTCGTGAAATTAACAAAGTTGATGTTAGGAAATAAACTTCCCTAGTGATTATATATATCGAAAACTCTGAATATAATGTGATAGATTTTGTAGCTTAAATTCTCTGGAGTGAAAACCATTTTTTTTTTGAAAAAGTGTATAAAAATCTGTTTGAAATGATATTGATCGAACATGAATGCAGTTATACATATTATTTCAATACTCATACCCAGTAGTATTTATTCTCCACAAAACAGTTCCATTTACTAAAAGTGAAAGCTGATCAGGTTTTGTAATTTTCATGATTCCATTTTTCAGTAAGAAACTATGCAGTACTTACTCTCCACAGATAGTTTAGTGATCCACACTTTTATGCTTGCTCATTGCTGACCAGTTAAAGTTATATTTTTGGTCAAACAAAATACTACTGTCGATTAGTAGTGTATGACAAATTTTGTAAAATTATCAATATGGTATGTACGCTTCAAAATTTAATGTCATCTGTAACCCAACAGAACATTCAGTAAAAATAAAACACGTGTTTAGGATATCTGAACTAAATTTAACATACACAATAATCATTTCATAAGTTACTAATCCATACTAGATTATGTCAATAAGTTATCTATTAATCCCTTTTTTTTTTTAATTTTATCATTTACAACGCATCTAAAAGTGTCAGATTTGAATTTTTTTTTTCGAAAACAATTTATATAAAAAATAAGAGACATAGTTTTGTTTTGTTTTCAAATGTTAACTTCGTTTAATTGTTTTGTTTCACTTAGATTAGTTGATATATTTATCCGAACAAAAAAAGTTTGATAAATATTTCAAAATGTTTATCAGTTCGAGTAAACAACTAATCATCAATGATATGATATAATTGGAGCTACAAATGTATATATACGGACGGATATTAGAAACTTATCAGGAAGTAGTAGTTTATGCACTAATGCCACTGACACTAGAATCATTATAATTGCTAGTATCTTTTACGCGTACAATTGTTTAGTAAATAGGTTTCTCTACGTTCAATATGCAGGTTAGTAAAACAATAACAATGAAAAGTGAATAGCTAAATAGAAAGAGTGAGTGTTGTTCAAACACTGTGTGTGTGTGTGTGAGTGCTCCTATACAATGGACTGAAATACAAATTTCATACTGTTTATATCCAAATTATTATCGATTCCTTTTTTCTTCATTGGTGAATATTTAACAAATAAGACCTAAAAGATAGTGAAAAGTAAATAAAAAATATTTTAAATCGTGTGTAGTTTCATTGTGCTCGATGAAACTAATCTAGTAAAAACTCATGATTGCTCCCTTGGGTTATTTTTCTAGATGAAAGATTTTTCATACAACAACAGCTTAAATAGATGCTAATTTAGTCGACCGCGACAATGACGTGTAGTGTGCTTATGTAACTTACAGACACAGATTCGATCGGCGTGTAACACATATATGCACTATATCATAATAGTAATAAAAATGAGTGTATACAAATGTTCAAATGGTTTACAACTCAGTAAATTTTGATGAAAGAGATAGTGAGACAGACTTACTGATGCCCGTAACACATCAAGAACTAAACAAAAAGTAAAGAGCGAATACGTAACTTTCCAGTCAATATTTCAAATCTCCCTGTGGTTATATTCCTCAATTTTTTTCTTATCTAGAATGTAATGCTAGTAATTCAGTAATCCAATAGATTCGTAAAAGCACTTGATGATTATTAATTCATTTTTCTTGTAATCTTGTTTTCCACATTATGTAATTTTAGGAGGAAACAATTCAAATTGACATTCGTTTAAAAATTCAAAAAGATTGAATAATTTATAGAATTAAAAACCTCACGAAGAATTGCATTTGTAAAGAGCATAAAATGAATTTTTGATAAGATGGATAAGATTTGTAAGTCAGTAAGACATATGTTTACTGATGCAACAGTTCGTCACTCGATTATGATAAACTAGTTTGATTTTGATGCAAGATAGCAAGATAGTATTTCTTATGCCTTAGCACGCATTAAAATACTGCATTCATGTCATATAGAACTTAAAATAATGAAAAGGCTTCGCATGGAAAGTTCACTCATACACGGAATAAAGTGTTGCCTCAAATTACTGAACATTAATAAATACATTTTGATTGTTACTATATTCAAACTTGTTATATTGATATGAAGATATTAACGAATATTTAAACCATTTGAATTATATCAGATGAAATGTTTTATTATGTTCCTGAAAAGTTTACGGTTAGCGATAACTATCGCACAGCTGTATAAATGATAAAATTAACAAGAGAGTTTTTGTTTGTTAGCCGACAATTTTGATTTTAAACAATTCGTAACATGTATTGTAGATGAACATAAATAGATGTAACAATTGAATTATTCCGTATTCCTTCCCCGAAAATCAGCTCACAGAAATCCTTATTGCATAGATCCAACATTGTGAAAATTCGGTGACTTAGCCGCAAAGATAACTCACGTTTAACACTTATACCATTTAAATATTTTGGTTCTGATTTACTCTAAGTAAAGTGGTCACCGGTTTGACATTTTTTAAATTACGTTTTATGAAAGTGAAGCCATCTTACATAATATAAGTGCTTGTAAATGCATTCATAAACTTAACGATTGCCAGAGAATTCGGCGAACAAAAATCGATTTTCAACAAATAAACTATCATGACATGCATCTGCATATCTAAATACTCGAAACGTTTACCACTTTATACCTTAAAGACAGTTAAATGGTAAATAGCAATAGTAAGAACGTGCTGTTCAGATTACCAGTTTATAGATTGTGACAGAAACAATGTTAATAAAGAGTTTGAAACCTCTAGATGATTTTTGATGTTGAAGACAGTTCGTTAATCTGTAATTCGATAACTGATGCATAGAACTTACCAGCTGGATGAAATATAATAATCCAAACCTGTATTGTCAGCTTAAAATGAAATATGTTGTGTAAAGTCTCAGTAAAAACAATTCAACATACAGCAGCAGCAGCAGCAGCAGCTAAACTAAACAGCATTTAAATATAGTTTCAACTAAGAAAATTAATGCATTCTAATAAGTCTAGTTGTGCTATATGTTATGCTTATGACTATGAGTATTAGGTTTATTATGATTACTTGAAAAAATCCATTAAATTTTGAAACATACCATTTCTTTATACATTCTCGAATTATTTTCCTATGGGTATAACAAAGAAAAAAAAAGAATTAACTAAATAAACTTTGCTATTTTTGAGCATAAATTCATTGATTCTCTGACTGTCGGTTATTTTCAAGCAAAGCCAAAATGATCAAACACTACATTCAAAGCTTTTTTATAGGCAACCAAGTCGATTTACCGATTTTGTTTCTAACACAGAAAACATATCTGAAAAAATAAACGAA